TATTTAAATAGAATAAGTTTAACAAGTACTTAGGTTTGCTGCAACAGGGAGGGTAAAAGTGTGTTTTTTTTTGTAAAATAATAACATTTTATAAATAAATAAATGATTTTTTTCTAATTTAATGCAAATATTTTCATAAACAAGAAAACTACTACAGTTTACTTATTCCCTGGTGTGAGTGAGGGTATACATTCAACTCTAGAAAATACGCTGGTCAACGAACGACAAAGAGCCGCCGATGTCTAGAGTTTCCTTGGATGGGTGGCCGACCGACCGGTGGTCATAGGGTGACGACACAAAGGGGGTGGTAGGCGGGTATCCGTGTCGGCCAGTGAGTCAGTGTTACCGGTGTTACTTCAAAGATGAATTATTGCCCTCGGGATGAATTTGCCCGCCGCCAGCTCGACACTTGTTTCGGTCACTGGTCTTGGTTGATTGTTTCGTTTTCGTTTTACTATCTTTTGATACTTTTACATAAACGATATAGCCATGATATATTACTAATGAAAATTCAATAAGTACATTGCACACTATAAAAAAAAAACTTACATATAGGATAGTTCATGTAAACAGTTGTTGCTTAAATCGTTTGGAACTCTGGCCACTTCTATTCTTCATTAGAGTGAACTTAACTGCAGGCTATTCAATAGACTGTGAAAAAAAAATTGTGAATGATTTTATGTACTTGGTTTTTTTTATAATTATAGCAAAAGCTACCAATCTTTGTAATCCGCGTCATAATTCTTGAGCTAACTACTTCTGCAGTGATATACCTTACACGTCACAAAACTGTATTAACCCTAGATCCAGTACCTCTGCTCCAACTAGTATTATAACATTGCCGTCCAGGAATCTTTGAACATATAGTTTGACAATAATTGCATGGATAGTACAGCCGTTTCAACAAGGATTTATTTACTATATGTTCTTAAAACTGAAATTAATTAGAAATACTATTAAAATAAATTAAATTAATTAATTTGATGTGAATTTAGCTTTAGTTAACAACACTGATACAAGTTCATAAACATAAACCAAATACAATTTTTTTTAATAGAAACGATTTGCAGGGTCGTCCAGATGAACTTGGAAATAGTATTTTAAAACAGTACCATAGATAAAAGGAGTAGACATACTCTGTCATACATACATGTCTATACTCCTTTTATCTATGATAGTTCATTAGAAAATCTGAATATACAGTAGTGCCGTGCATTTGAAGTACTTACTCAGAACACAGACTTACTTGAGGACAGTTAAACAATAAAACGCAAAGATCCACGGAAGTAAAGACTACATTATTTAGTAAAAAAAAAAACAAGGATGCGTCAGTTAGGGCCAGTTAGACAATTGAAGTACACGGAATTGAATCACCATAGTATTGTCCACGCAACAACGTGAGAGGATAAAACATGTACTTCTTCAATTATAATTACATGTTTCTGTGTAAAACCGAAGACGTCTACCTAGACTTTACTAAGAAAAACTTCTCCCCGGTAACACAGGCAATGGGAATTCCTTCTAGACAAGGTTTTCAATAGGCCTACAACAAAATCATAAAACAAAAGATGTTTCTCAGGCTAAGTAGCACACTGTGCACTTCAGCAAATAAATAGTTTACCGAGATAACTATTGCTTACCAAGACAGCAGTGTCATTTAAGGAGAAATAGTACAAACTAATGTCACCAAAAGTCTAAATTCATTCTTTATTTTATTTTTTTAAGAGAGGGAAAAATAGACAAAAAAGCTTTAAATAACCGGTATTATCAATTTGTATTTATCTCTCAATTGAATAAATGTAACGGTAGTTACCTCACCACTGTTAACAATATTTGACCCTCCTATTACATAAATATGTTAGTTAATTTAATATTCAAACTCGTGTACATGTTGCTCGAATTCGAGCAATTTCAAAGTAATACAGAATTTATTTCAAAACGAAAAAAAGTAATAATCAATGAGTTTAAAAGAGTCAACTCAAAGATCACCAGTGTGTAACTGCTGGAGATACTCACGATGTATATACAGTAATCAACATTTCCTGTAAATATTTTATCATAAATTGGTATTGCTTTTTAATGTTTCTACAAATGTTTCCTGACTTATAGCTGCATAAGGTTGTCCCACCTTGTTTATCTTATTTATTGATAAACCTATGTATGGCACCACCCTTGTCGCCAGCAGTAAGTTTACAAATTTCAGTAATTTTTTAATAAAGATAAACACTTTTTTGATCATATTAAGGACTTCCTGTTGTCTGTAACAATTTTATTTGTTCAATCGGCGTATTTTTATTTATTTAGCTAAATAAAACATTTATTTCATTGAAGTAAACTAATATAGGCCTATTTATATTCACTGTACTGTGTTAACAAAATATCGATTGAGAAACAAACAATTACACGTAATAAGAACCTCGCTAGTCCGCTGCATTGTGATAGCTGAAAATCGTCGGAATGAAAACCGCCGCTACAAGATACAGAAGTTGGTACGCCTGCAGTGCCCTCCACAGCTGCACGCGCCGCTGGCACTGCCGCTCAACACATCCCCACCTAAAAGACGAGCAAGTGGTAAGTCGGTCGGGAGGATTGACGACAAGTTGGTTTCTCGTATATAATAATTTAGATTTACAGGCCGGTCAACTGGACTGACGATGAAATAACTTGTCGACGTACTGGTTTTCAGTATTTATCTATTTAATTAAAAAATACGGTCTAGTGGCAAGACGACCAAGTATCTTGTCGGTCAACTGGTGGCCCCCCGGTTATGTTTGGTTTTAAAGAAAGGTTGTATACGTTTTGTAAAGTATTGCTCAAAGTTTCATTTTGTAATTTATATAGTAAGCTACATATAAAGAGACTTGACTAAAATTGAAGAATTATGGTAAAACATGTACGGTAATTCATAAAGCATCAATATGAAGCAATTGATGATATTGCTACACTAAGGTATGTTGTCATATTATTTTGGATCCATTAACATTTAAGTAGGGGTTTAAAAGTAAGTAGATTTACACTTTTAAATCAGTTTATATTTTCATACTAAATCATAGAGTTGTTGTATTTTAAAACACCCATCACCACCACTTAAATAGCTCTCTAGGTCACATTTTCTTCCCGTTGCAATGCACGGGTATAGCAACTTGTAATAATATAATTCTTAACTGATATTTACTAATTAACATACAACTTGAAACTGAAATACTAAACTCTACCCAACTAAATTAAATACATACGCTTCCACACTAACACTTTTAACTGGTCCAGAAAAACCTCATTGATTACTATTTTCGCGCCACCCACCCCACCCCCCCCCCCCCATTTGACTCAGACCTCTTCATGCACTGAAATTATAATGGACATAAGAGCAATACCTTTGTAACATATGTAATGTTGAATTCAAACTGAATACGAACTCAACTCAAAATAAAATAAATTAAATCCAATGTAGGCCTATGTCGTCTGTCAAATCTTCAACTAAAAGGTTTAGTCCTTTAATGAAAAAAGAGTTTAATCAACATCCCTTACCTCGGTGTCCTAGTTTTAAATATGTTTAGGAGCTTCTCTATTGTGATTACCAAGTAAAATCAAAACAATATTTATGTTGGAAATTTATGTTGAATCTTACGAAAGTGAACTGACCCAAGTGACCCGACATCTTAATAACTCGAATGGCTTGTTGTGAAAGGATAATCTAAGAAGCTGAAATTTAAGGTCATTCCGAGTAACATATAATCAGTGATAACAGACTTCTTTGTACGCTATTCATTCATTGAGCGAAGCGAAGCTCTTTGGGATTGACTTCAATGCAAGCGTTCTAAACACTTTAACTCAATAACCGCTGAACATATTTCATCCAAACCTTTTATCAATGTTACTTTGACAAAAAGTGGGAAGGTTTGTAAACAAAACAAAATTTTAATTAGATAGCTAATCTATATATTAATAGGCAAACATGTACCTTTAAAACGTATACTATATTTTTTTCTCATGTATACTTTTAAAATGTGTAGCCTACTGTATTAAATGCACTGCAAACCATGATGGTGTGTGTACATTAATAAAATTGTTATGTTTTGTGGTATTTTCATCAGCTGTAAAGCAATCATCTCTAAAATATAAAATCAAAATAATAACATACTACAAAAACTGGTCACTTACTACTTCCTTCGCCACTTCCTAAGTCGTGGACCAGTTTCCCTCCCTTCCCATAGCATTTTATTAATGCAGATACATTAATCTAACTGCCACAGACGGCTCCCACACTGTGCACTGCCCACCTTTATTACTTCCTTCACCACTTCATATGTCATGGGCCTGTTTCCCTCCCTTCCTAAAGCATTTAAGGATTGCCGCAGATAAAATCAGTAAAATAGTGTACCTTCTTAAATACAGTGGTAGTTTACAAATGCCCATGAATACTTTCTCTGTATTCTTTGAGCAAAGGTGTTCACCTGGAGTGGTTTTTCCTTTGTGCTGTATTTAGATAGTAGCTACCGTATATTAGATTGCTAACAACTTAACAAACATTTGCTATGATTCTTTGTTTACATCCACGTTTTTATCTCGTAACCATCATGGCAACTCATAAGACTAATGCTAAAAACATTACCGGTATGTTGGTTTTAAATTGTACAGACATTATAAAATTGATTTTTTTTTATAATATGAACACTGTCAAAATAACCCTGGACAGTTTGGATGAAATATGTTTAGACGTTAATGAGTTTATTGATTACATAGTTTGCATAAGGTCCGGTCTCAAGGAGCTTCGCTTGCTCCGCTCAAAAAATCCAACCAGACTAATGAAAATTCGCTTAGTCTGCAGGTTAGCTGTGGCGAGGGTAATTTTAAATGTCTTTTCACTGCACTAAAAGGTGACACAAGTACGGTAACAGTTTTTTAAAGAGTGAAAATCCAAAGCCTCTGAGTTTTGGCTCTTAAGGTTTAAATGGTTTAACATTCTGTGTAATAATTCTGAATGATCAAACTACACTCACCATAACCATCAATAAAGGCAACTGATATGAGTGGAATTTTCTGAAGACGAGAGAGAACATTTTGCATGAATGTTGCCATTTTATATCCTCCTTCAGGGGAGCTAGTTTTCTGTGCAAAATTCAAATCTCCTCCAGAACAAAAGTTGCCTTCAGCACCGTATAGTAATAGACCTTTTCCATTGATCCACTTTTCCAACGTGCAAACAACTTCTTCAAACTGCACCATCATTGAACCTAACACAATCATAATAAAATCCCACATTTTAACAGCAAAAAGTATAGTTTTGCTATTCAATTCTATAGGGGTCTTAAAACAACTAAGTTTAATACCACACTTGGTAGGCTAGGTAAGTAAATCAAGCATGGTGGCCTGTAGCATGTCACTGGCCCGGAACCTTTAAATAATTAATAACTCGGTTCCGGGAGAGGTAACTTACTAATTTTTTGTTTGAAAGTACTAAGTAGTGTGAAATAGTTATTGAATATTGGCATAATTCATTTGTATGAATTCCGTCATGGCCGGACCAGTGACTTGGATGTAATAAGTTAGTGATGTCACACAAGAAGTCCCTTAAAATAATTTTAAGCCATGAGATTGGTTAGTGGCTTAACCTTTCACTGCGGCATAGCCTACATGAAACGGGCGCTCGCCAATGGCGGCAAAGCCCCGGAGCGCCAACGAATCAGCGAACGCAATTGGCATTCAAATATTTCAGTCTGATGAATCCCAAAAGAGCAGCGGTGATTGTGCTGTGTTACCCTGAGAGTGGACGTAGCAGTTACCGAACGTGTTAAATAACCAAGGGTAGTAGCACTGACTGGATCCGTAGCCAGTCTTTGTAATGGCTCGAAGAGAGAAAATCCCTGAAACCGGGACAAAAGCATTGCCAGAAGGGAATTTACGGGAAATTTTAGTACAAACCTAGACCAAAATAAAGCTCACATTCACTACAGGCTGGTAACGACTGTAACGTTCTGTGTCAATAGCTGAGCTCACACTGACTGTACAAAGTTAAATCATGGGACGGCCGATTACGACCGCGCAGCACCTGGCAAGCAACCGGCACCGACCAATTTTAACCGCTCCGCAGCTAAGTTAACGTGCTAAGAGAGATTTCTTAAATGCTGATTTTGATAGAATTTTGTAATGCTAAAAATTGTTAAGGCCTAGGCCTAGTTTATTGCAATACCATAGAGTCAGTTTTAGAGAGGGTGAGGGTGACAAGTTTACAACATTACAAGGAATTGCTCTGTATAAACTTTAAGTAAAAACCAAACTCCTACCGGTGATGGCGTTTTTCTTGGCCAAATGATTGATCACTAAAGTGGCAATCCCACAAGAATCGTCAATTTGCAAATCAAAGGACCCTCCACAGAATTGAGACAGATGGTTTTTACAATCTTCCATAGAAAACTCTGGTCCTTCATACATAGCTACGGATGCCATTGGCCTGAAATTTCTCCTGAAAACTTGTTTTAAAACACTAGTGTGCATTTAGATCATTGCAGTACCAATATATAGCAAACTCATTATCAAAGTCTTTATAATGCAGGAAAATATAAAAGTTTAAGTTAGGTCGAGTTAAAATAACATAAGAGATTAAGGCTCTTTGAGGTTAAATTAAAAAAAAAAAACCATAACAACAACAATCATAGCACCAACGAACGGCACCAGTTTTTAGTAGTAGGAGGGTGGTTGGTAGTGGTAGGGTAGGGTCTGGTCTGACTTAGGGGAGGTACGAATGAGGCATTAGTTCAAAATTCCTCCATGGACAGCGCTGTAGTAGAGAGCACTTTGGCAATGAAAGTTTACTACCAAATCGCAAAAATAGTTCTGTTCATAAAATAAAATTATAAATGCTTCAAATTCAATTTTATAATTCTTTAATTATAAAATTAAACTATCATAACCTAACCGAACTAACCAAACTTGCTGATAATGAATACTAATAGAAAAAATAATTCTGTTCATTAAATAAAACTAGAAATTGCTCGATTAAAATTTTATAATGACTTAATAATAAAATTGAACTGTAATAACCGAACCAAACCAACCAAACTTGCTGATAATGAACAGATCTTGAAAAAAAGTTAGGATGAGGAGTTTACTGTTGAAAAACTAAACTCGCAAGATACCCTGAGAAGTACTGTTCCTTTAAAGTTGGACTTCACTCGTCTATCCTAGGTGAGGTGTTCAAACCCGACTTTTGGCCTAGGGATGTATTTGTGTCAAGATTTGTGTCAAGGCGCCCTAAGCAAAACTCTCAAGACATTGTTGTTGATCCTGAACCTCCTATTAACACTTCAGTTGTGAATCTAGACCAATCAGCTTTTTTAGGTTTTCCCGACAGGAGAACCAAATAGGCTAGTTAACAATAAGACTAGGCCTATCTCTTTGTGTGTTATGCAGCAGAATATACAGTGCCTAAGTAATAAACTAAATGAAATAGAAGTAATTGTAGAGAACTCTGATTTCAATGTGTTATGCCTATGTGAACATTGGCTATTATCTAGTCAACTTGATTTGGTAAAAATTTGCGGTTTTACCCTAATGGCGGCCTTTTGCCGAACTACACAGAGGCATGGAGGTACGTGTATCTACATATCCAATTCTTTATCTCCTTTTTTCTCCACTCTTGATGTAAACGGTTTCTGTGATGAGCTTAACTTTGAAGTTTCAGCAGCAATATCAACTGACCTAAAAATAGTTATAATGTCCGTATATCGTTCACCTGATGGTATTCTATCACAGTTCCTAGATAAACTTGAGGAATTGCTTCAAACCCTTCTTTCAACTAAGCCGGACTACAAGTATATCTTAGCAGGAGACCTAAATATTGATGTCGGTTCAAAAAAAGCAGACGACTGGGCTCTACAAAACACTCTGCGTTCTTTTAACTTATTCTGTTCCAACTTTGAGCCAACAAGGGGTGTGAGGTGCCTCGACAACATTGCACTTAACTTTCAGAGGAGCGACTTCGCTGTCTGCGTTGGAAACTTTGCCTTGTCAGACCATTTAGCAGTTTGCCTTAAGGTGGAAATTCTACAACTTGTAAAACCTACGACGGAATACCAAGTAAAGAGGAATTATAGTCCTGTTAACCAAGCAAAATTTATCTCTACTGTCAGTAATATTGACTGGCCAGGTCTGGTATCAGATGGCAGGCATATCAGCAACAATCTTTTCACCATCCTGTTTGATCAGCTCCAATCAACTATCAATGATTGTTTCCCTCTCAAGAAAATCTTACCAAATTATCAGAGTAAAAAACCTAGACGAAAAAATCGTTGGTTTACAGCAGAGCTTCAAGTCCAGCGTGACTTAGTCCTAACAGCTTTTGATGCCTATAAAACATCTGACTCACAGATTGATAGGGAAACCTATGTGACCCTAAAAAGGACTTATAAAAAATCTCTTGCAACAGCCAAGCTCAACGCCAATGTAATATAAATCGAATCTGCAACCAACAAATGCAAAGCTGCCTGGTCCATCATCCGTGGTAATATGGAGAAGCCAAACACCAACCCCCTACGATACATATCTCCACAAGACTTCAGTGATTTCTTCGTGTCATCTGTGGAGCAGACAGCTACACTGGTGACACCTTCGATTGCTGCATCCACTTCACTACTTGAGAATACACCAGCTTCTCCATCATCCTTCAAGTTCAGTGCAGTGTCTTGTGAGGAAGTATATAGTGTTGTGCATAATATGAAATCCTCTTTCAGCACAGATGCATATGGTATGTCCTCTAACCTTCTAAAGCTTATTATAGTGTATATCTTGTTGCCACTCACTGCAAGTATTAACTACTGCTTGCTCTCTGGCGTTTTCCCCAAAAAACTGAAGTTTTCAAAAGTTGTTCCAATTTATAAAAAGGGTCCGAGGGAGAATCCTAGTAGTTACCGGCCCATTTCGTTAGTTCCTGTGATTGGCAAAGTGTTCGAAACCATAATAAAATCACAATTAATGAAATTTTTTGAATACCATGGCCTAATATCTGATTGGCAATTTGGGTTTCGAACGGGTAGATGTGCCACGGATGCGGTAAGGCGCTTGGTGCAGCATGCGCTAAATTCTTATGAAAACGCCTCTCTTACCCAGGCAACTCTAGTTGACCTGAGTAAAGCGTTTGATTGTGTTCCCCATGGTTTACTTTTGAATAAACTTGAGTACTACGGTATCCGTGGCACAGAACTCAATCTTTTTAAGTCTTACTTATCAGACCGCAGGCAGCAGGTTGATGTTGCGGGTATATTGTCAGATGAGAGTGAGGTTTTTTGCGGAGTGCCCCAGGGCTCGGTGTTAGGCCCTGTTCTTTTCCTTATAATGATTAATGATTTGGATAAATGTATGTCCTGTACTTCTGTGATTTATGCGGATGACTCCACTTTCTTAAATAGTCAAGGTACCTTTAGTGAACTCATGGTGCTGTCCAAACTTTCCCTCAATGAAGCTAGGAACTGGTTCAGTGTCAATGGGTTTTTTATGAATCCTGAAAAGACTCAAACTATTGTTTTTAGGTTAGGTCGCACACCTGAGGAAGAAAAGAATTTTTCGTCAAGTGTAAATTTATTAGGCATAGATTTGGATAGTGATTTAAGCTGGTCAACCCATTTATATAACTTAAGTAAGAAATTGTCAAGAGTTTTATTTTTAATTAGACGTCTAAGAGATTTTGTTCCTCCTTTGTATGTTAGATCTGCGTATTTTGCTTTTTTTCAAAGTCTGTTAAAGTATGGTCTGTTACTGTGGGGTAACTCCACCCACATTCTAATAATTTTAAAGCTTCAAAAAAAGGCTGTAAGACTGTTGACCAATTCAGGGTTGAGGGACCATTGTAAACCTCTTTTTAAAGCAACAGGTATCCTGACAACTGTAAATTTGTATATATTAGAGTGTGTTATTTTTGTAAAACAAAATTCACATTTCTTTAGCTCAAGAAATAATTTTCACTCATATTACACAAGGGGAAGATCTGCTTTGGATAGGCCCTACACCAGACTAACAACAGTACAGCAAAGTTTTGCTAGTATATCAGTAAAAATAGTAAATTGTTTTGCAAGTGAAATACTTGACATTCCTTGTACTCGGCTAAAACAAAAGTTGATGGTTTGGCTTGCTGACCACCCTTTTTACAGTTTAGATGAATTTTTTGCAGAATACAATTGTAATGGTAAAATTGTTATCTAGTTCTTACTTAGTCCCTAGTCAACTGTTACCTAGTCTTTCAAACACTTGTTTAAGTAGGTACCTCACTTTTGTTTCATATATATAGTTCTGTGTTTTTCAAATGATTTTAGCTTTATTTTCTTGTTGTCTTTGTTATATTTAAGTTTAGTGAAGATTCCATGTTATAGACCATGTTATACTATCTAGAATCTATGGCCCTTTTTTTGTTAACGAGGTCTATTGTAACATATGTTATTTAATGACCAATAAAGATTTATGATTTATGCTTCTAGCGGGATTCAAACTTGGGACCTTCAGTATATCAGCCCGACACGCTAACCACTAGACCACCGAGGCCGATGGCTGCGTATAGTATTGCTACGGTAATGGTGTTCCCTCAGTTAATAAGAAGCCCACAGCTCACAGCTGTCATCGTAGGCTCACCTATACCTCCCCTGAGTAAAAACCCATTAGGGTTAGACTATTTTTCCATCGGGGGTGATGGAAAAATAGTCTACTTAGCTAGAGGGGTAGTTTGCTTAGCCCTGCTTAAGCCCTTCGGTTTATAGACCAGGAAGCATCGATATACACTATGAGTTGTGGTTGTTTGATTGTTTGTTATCTAATTGCTGTCAACTTATTGGAATTTGTATTGTTTACAATTAATTAATAATTATCGTTCATTTCCCTAATCTTCTGTTAACACCAGCCGCACCATTGGCGAGTTTCATTCATTTTTCAACGCCGTCAGCCCTCAGCAGTCACTTCATTTTCATATCTTTTAACTTCGCACCAAATGCTTGATCTTTATGTAGAAACTAAAGACTTAAACTCAGATAACCACTTACGTCAAAAATACATGCAGCTCAAACGCACTTACAAAAATATAATATCAGGCAAAAAAACAGATATGATACGTGAGAGAATAAACCAATCTGACAGTAGAAATAAAGCCATCGGGGATACTATTAAAGAAAACCTTCCAACTAAAACTAACAATGCAAAAGAAATCAATCGTCTTAATAAAAATGGGGAAATAATCAAAGACCCACAACAAGTTGCTAACGTATTTAATCATTTTTTTGCATCAGTTAGTAATCCATCAGATAAGACAGGCAAGCCCAATTATACAAAGCATATTCTAGATTCATTTTTTCTTTAGCCAACAAATAAGACCGAGGTTGAACAAATCATAAAAATAAAAGAAATAAAAAATAATTTATGAATAAAAAACTTATTTAAAACAAAACGTTTCTGAACGCACTAAAAAGTAGAAAATAATTTTTAAAAATGTGGAGAGTATAAATACTTGTAAAATTTAAAACGAAAAACGTGGGGTGCATGCAATTGATGATAATAAATTAGTTCAATAGGTGAATGTAATTGTAAATTATCTATTGCATGCACCCCACGTTTTTCGTTTTAAATCTTACAAGTATTTACTCTCCACATATTTATGTCGCGCATGCGCACAAGCTGTCACTGTTATTTTCAAAGTAGCAGTTTCAGTTTTGAGAACTTATTGCGTTACTTCCCGTTCCCGGTCACACACCAAACCTTGTAACATTGTAACCGTTAACGGAGTTGCCCCGCAACGCATACTCAGTTTGACGGATATTAACGGACAGCTAAAAAGGGTGTAAAAATATATACCAACACATCCTAACTACTATTAGTTATATAGGCCTAAACGAAAATAATAATAAATTCCACCACTAAATTGATAGCAATATAATACTAGCCTAGCCGCACAATTTGTTATTCAGGATTAGTTTTGCCAACAGTGTATTTGGAGGCTTCGGATTCACTGAAGGTTTACTAATTGAAAAATTAGTTTTGTTCATAAAATAAAATTATAAATGCCTCAAATTCAATTTTATAATTTTTTTATTATGAAATTAAACTGTCATAACCTAACCAAACCAACCAAACGTGCTGATAATGAAAAAATCCAAGAACCCCTACCCTGCAAACAGCTATAACAGTTACACGGTGGCCGTGGAACGGGGAACGGAACTAAAAGTTTACAACTACTACTTTGAATTGAAAATAACAGCGACAGCATGGCAGTGCTTGTACGTATGCACGACAGCTGCACCTCCCCCTTCGACTAGAAGGTCGTAAAATGCCAAATCCTGTTGTTGGTTGAGTTGAGTCTTGACAATTGTCTCAATTTTCAATTGTAAACCATTTCAAAAATAGGGCCCCTGGATTTTTTTATGGTGGCCGTGTCCCTATGTAACGACTGGCAATAATTACTGGTTAATGGCAATAAATTAATTAATATTCTTATTCTAAATAGTGGGGTTACATGGTCGTTTAACCAAGCTAGCTTTTCATAGGGAAACAAGAAAAAAGGAGAAAAATGAAAGAAAAGAAACGAGAACAGCTGAATGTCCTTGTCATTGTCAAGTTTTGTTTTGTTTAATTTCAAATTAATAAATAGGCATATTTTGTATTTTTGTTTCAACTTCTAACTTTTAAATTGTTTAATCTTGAACAAATAAATTGGTTAAAATAACCGCATTTTGTACAGTAAATTAATAACCGCGTATGAATCAAGCTAAACGTAGGCATGATTGGTTGTTTGAATTCAAAATAACGGCGGGGTTGTACTTTCTACTCTACAAAATTTAGCCTAGGCCTACATTTGGTTTAGCTAGGCCTTGGCTGTTCACAGTTAACAAGTTAAAGTAAAATATACTTTCACCCAACATGGATTCAAAAAGGTGAGTACCCAGTAAACTGGGTTAGCCTTACTTAGCCTATGAATTGATTAATTTGCAACCCTATGCCAACATTATTTAGTCTAAGTTATATATATATATATTTGGAAGTGATAAACTCAGACACCACTGAACCGATTGCCACGAAACTTGGTACATACGTGTAGAATTTCATGGAATAGGTTTATACACCATCAATTTCGTGATCCATCCAATCGGCTCCGCCCCAGTGGCTCTGGAGTTTCCCATGTTAACCTTATGAGAAATGGAATTAATGAATCTTAACAGCTGTTTCAATTAAACAAGTTGGTTCCGTTCTATGATGTTCAATAGCATTAAAGTTACAAGGATTACCAATAGGGTGCAGCACTATTATTTCTTTTACATTTATGACAACTGCTAATTTGCAACCAAAAGGTGAGTGAGCATAGTGAACGAACTTCAACCTGGAGGCGAGTTAGCATAGTGAACGAGCTAACCTGAAGGCAAGTGAGCGCAGCGAACGAGCTCCAACCTAAAGGTGAGTGAGCGTAGCGAACAAGCTCCAACCCAAAGGTGAGTGAGCGTAGCGAACGAGCTCCAACCTAAAGGTGAGTGAGCATAGCGAACGAAGTTCAACCAGGACGTGATTGAGCCATGCGAACGAGATCATCTTGAAAATTAAGAAGTTAAACGGGGCAAAGCCCGCGGGTTACAGCTAGTTAATCAATATAACTTAAGTTAACTTAGGTAGTAAAATATTGATTATTAAACGATATTTTCAATTCGATAGTTTCAATCGATACTAGCATAGCCCAGTTAAGAAACTGTACCCAAGAAGTTTTCTATGCGCCTACAATCGCCAATTTCTAAAATTTTTCTTGATTTTTAAACGCGATTTTCAGGGTGAAATAGGCTAGGCATACCTAGCCCCAAAAGTGCCAAATGTTAAAAGTGCTTAGAAACAGTTTAATTTTGGTAGATACAAGGCAAAAAATGCAATAACTTATAACATTGGCCTAAGTAGTATAAGTTCAGTTTTACCATAGACAAAAAGAATTAAATATATACCGTCAGCTGTGCTTTGGTTACTACTGCACGGCTGACAGTCTATATTTAATTCTTTTTGTCTATGGTATTACCGAACAAAATTCGTGTTCCGTCTTCAAAAGAAAGGTACTTAATTTAGGCCTAGAGAAGTCTTCAAGATGTCTCATCACAGTTTGTGCGTGTACAGTTCCGCCGAGAGCCTGCGATGTATTATCGGATGCATAACAGTAATCAATGTTTATCCAATTCGGTATATCGATTACAAAATATTGTAGATTTTTCCCTATCCCATAATATAGGCTTAAACATCAAATTAATTTAATGATTTGTTTACGTTTTTACTCATATTTAATAAATAACACTAACAACATTTAACCAAAAACTGAAAGTTTTCAATTTTTAATACTCTTGATGTGTTTATGGTAACCACATAGAAATTAAAACATGGTTTCTTCCATTTTTATTTTATTTTATTTTTTATTTTTTTTGCTTCCAATGGTCCAAACAAACCAATTTATTTACAATTATTTATTTTTTTACAATAGGCCTACTTACTATTCAATGTTACTATAACTAAGGGTCAAGCCAAACATGCAATGGGACCTAAGATTACTACTAATAGAAAGAACGTGACAACAAGAACAACAAACTAAAACCTGAGCAAATGTTTACTAACAATGATAAATCTTTGTAATAATAAACATTGAATAAAATTGTCTAGCCAAAAAAGATAACAAAAATAATAACAACAACAATAACAACAAATAATAACAGCAACAAATACAATAGCAATAATAATAAATAACAACAGGAACAAATAATGACAATAATGTATAACAATAATAATAAACTACAATAGAAATATAACAATAGGTAGTAATAGTAATAAATAAATAAACTGCTATATTAACTTATAACTTGCAGACAACAAATCAATGCAGCGCCTCACAGACCAACAAGTAACAACCTTTTTTTTAACGACTCGCCACTGGTGAAGAAGAGTTTGATATCTTTCGGTAAGCTGTTGGCCAAGAGTTGGATGCAGGGAAAAGTACTGTGGAACATGTACTGGGTTGAGTACTGACGTCTAGCGAATGGATGAGTTTGGCGCAGGTGACGTGATGTGCGGAAGTTATACTTATATAGTAGATCAGGGGCATCAATGTCCGAGTTAATTAGCTTCCTCAGGAACAGTAGGTCATTGATTTCACGTCGTGTAAGTAGTGGCCTCAAGTTCAACTGAAGTTGTAAATTCTGAATGGGAACGGTGCGGTAGGTAGTCATAACCCATCAGCACACCAACCAGACGAATGAAACGGCTCTGCATGTTCTCAAGACTCTCGATCTGCCCAATCAGGTAAGGGCTCCAAACAGGTGACAAAAACTCAAGTAAAGGCCTGAATAGATGTATGTAGAGGATTCTCAATGCATTGAGGGAGAACATGTTGCAACTGTTCCTTATTATGAAATATAGGGCAGAATTTGCTCTCTTGCAGATATAATTTATATGGTCTTGAGGGTTTAAATTTGGAGAAAGTATGACGCCAAGGTCCTTGATCCTGAAAGAACGTGGGAGGGGTTGATCGTCAAGTAAGTAGGGGAAGATGATGGGTGTGCTAGATCTGGAAAAGGACATCACAGAGCATTTTGAAATATTCAGGGTCGTTTCATTATCACAGCACCACTTCATTAGTGAATTAATACTGTTCTGCAGAGCTTGGTAATCATCCAGGGTTTTAATTGTTTTAAAGAATTTAGCATCATCAGCAAAGAGCAAAATGTTTGACCCCTGAGTATGCTGTACCAGGTCATTAATAAATATTAAGAATATAACTGGGCCTAAAAGTGATCCCTGAGGCACACCGGAGACAGCAGAGAAAGGTTGAGACAGACAGCCAGCAACCCGTACCTGAAGAAAACGACCCTGGAGATAACTTCTTAACCACATCAAGAGGCATCCGCCAAGTCCAATAGCTTCAAGTTTGGCCACCAGGTGTTTGTGACTTACAGCATCAAAAGCCTTCGAGAAGTCAGTGTATATGGCGTCCACCTGATGAGAATCCGTAAAGGCAGTTTGAATGTGATCCTGGAAGGCGAGTAGGTTGGTAGTAGTCGAGCGTCCCTTAATAAAGCCATGTTCTTCAGTACATGATACTCTTAAGATAGAATGTCAATCTCTTCAGAACCAGGGATTCAAAGATCTTGGCAACTGTTGACTGTATAACGACCGGGCAATAATTCTTGACATCAGCAGGAGAACCAGACTTGAAGATAGGTGTTATATAACCCAACTTGAGATTGGTGGGGAAGATGCCGGCAGCCACGAGCAGGTTGAAATATACGGTAAGGTGAGGAGCTAAAACGCTACTGCAGTATTTCAGAACCAATGGAGAAATGTCGTCAGGGCCAGCTCCCTTATTCACATCAAGCGAGTTCAACTCATCTTCAACCTCTAAACAGCTCACATAGCAAGAGGAGATTGCGGTACATGCCTTGAAGTCGTATTGTGGTGGAGAAGAAGTCGGAGACTTGTATACAGAAGAGAGGAACTTTGAAAATAGGTTAGAGATGTCTTGAGGTTTTTCAGCAGCTTCATTATCGAGCAGCATTCGGGAAGGTGATGAGGTCTTCCTAGACGACTTGACATAACTCCAGAAGACACGAATGTTACTCTTCAGAGATGAGTCAATAGATTGAATGTAAGCTGAGTAACATTTCCTCGTAAGTCTATTGCATGCCGCTCGAATACCACAGAATTGATGATATAGACGGTCATCAAGATTCTGCTTGTAGCGCTTATGTAGGTGCTTTTTCTTGATAATCATAGATTTGAGCTCAGGAGAGAACCAATCAGGAAATGATTATTTACCAATGTATTTAGATGGGCATGCACTCCTTATAGTATGAGTAAGTTGGAAACAAAAGTCAGAGAACAAGTCTTCAACGGGAGCAATATTATCTAAAACAGTATGGGTAGTTAAGGTGTTGAAACCATTCGAATACATGGGTGAGATCACACTTCTTTAAATTAGGAGCAAAGACACTATAGTTGAGGTCTTCTGAAGGATTGATGTCCAGGTCCATCTCCAAAGCAGGATGGTGACTTTCAGCATGAAGAAGAGGTTCTATAGCGTTGTGGACGTGCAAATGTATAGAAGAGAAGACCAGATCAAGAAGAACACCTCGATCATTGTAGACATTGTTGTACTGCTTTAGATTGAGAAAATTCATAATATCACAAATACATTGGGCTGATGTATTGAGGTGGCTAGAAGGACTGGACCAGTCTACATTCGGTAAGTTGAAATCCCCAATAATCAAAAATTTTTGTCTTGCACTGTAACTGACAGTTCCTACAGAATAGATGCAAATTCAATATACTGAGTAAAATTTTGATTAGGAGGCAGATAGACACCACCCAGGACAAATAAAGAGTTCTTGAGTTTCAAGGCTGCAAAGACGCATTCAATGTTAAGAGAAGAAGGGGAGAGTTCCCAAGAATCAAACTTGTCACGGATCGCCACGATAACCCCACCACCACTGGTTTTCTGGCTCGATGCAATAGATCTATCACACCTGTATACCCTATAATTGATGAAATCCAATTCCATGCTGCTTATATCTTCTGAAAGATTAGTTTCCACCAGTATAACCACATCATACACTGAATGAGTAAGGGATTGACGCAGCGTTACAAGTTTAGAACGCAAACCATTGACGTTCTGAAAAAATACACTTTGTTTGGACCGTTGGAGTTTAGGTGTTTTTTGGTTTCAACTTTGAAATGGGGGGGATACCATAAATGTATCTTATAGTAAGGTCAATCTCACCACCTTTCTTCCTCACTTCAAGCTCATCTCTAAGATTCTTAAGATGATTCCGCTCCCTAACTGTGCGATCTCTAGACATACTAATTCTGTCATCGTCCTCAGCATATTTCTCTGAGAAACGCTTGGAGAAGATCCGAGCTTGGTGAGCATTAGGAAAAATTTACTTAATAGGTCTGGGGTTACTTTTCTAGCGGTCCCCAATCCTAAAGAATCTGATAGTATCAAGATTAGCCTCCTGGTACACTTCAGACAATAGATGTTTTATTTGCTGACTGTCATGTTTCTTTTTAGATTCAATGTTTGAGTTTGAACTTTCGGAGATACCGTGTAGAATTACATTACACTGACGTTTGTTACGATTAGAGTTTCCTCAAAAGTATTACAGTCCGCCAATTTCGCCTCAACTCTACCCTCAATATCAGAGACCTTGTGCTCAAGGCGCTCAATTCGTGGTTCAAGTTGTTCAAATCTGTCATAGATAGCCTTCACATCATCCTGAATCAATTTTACATTATCAGGTAAATCATTGAGACGGTCAACCTTGGCAGAAAGATTTTCTGTCTTTTGTGAAAGTGCTGTAAGAATGGTATTCAAACTTGGCAAAGAAGGAGCGTTATCACACTCTACGCGTGAGTATAACCATTTAACTGTATTATAAGATGCAATTTTCATAGGGTATATTCTGCTTTAGACAACCCAACGCAAGAACGATGGAACCATCGATCACAGGGGCCGTCACATTGGATTTTATTATTAAATATTTAAAACAAAAAACTCTAAGGATAAAATAAAGAAAAAGTTTTGATAATGTTTTGTTATTATTTTTATTTAGCTTATCGTGTGGTATGGTAAGTTAATTAAATTCAATACAATATTAATATTGAACCAAATAAATATCCTTATACAATATTAAATATCCTTGTTTGATGCCTATTCATCATTATTAATCCGATAATATATCGCATGTTCTCTGGGGAACTGTACCCGTTTGTGCAAGCCCCTCTTAATAAAAAAAAGGTATTAACATTTCTATCTAAATACATCCTTGATTGCCTATGTTTTGTACATAAAAACTTCAATGGATTCCGACAACGGTACCAACAAACACAATAGGCCTACTAGCTTCGTAGTCGAAACTCTATCTAACCCCATAAACACAAGACCAGTTTAATTGACACTCTAAATGTTTGTCCTTTGTAATTCCTGTCACATAAACAAGGAGTTTAATAAATGTATATATATTTCTTTGTTTTGCTTTGGTGCGGCAGCTTCAAATGGTACGTATCTTTATTTTGGTTACCTGTTCTAATATTTTCTGTGCATTCAAGTGCCTCAAATTTCATAAAAATGTATTTTTCCTACAGTCACCTGACAAAGTGGCCTTCCTTGCACTGATTAGGGGCCTATAGCACAGAAAGTTAAGTTGCTAATTGCTGCATTTACTTACTTTTGCTGCACTCTTTTTACTTTTGCCGCACTCCAGTAATTATTCCAACCAAACAACACAAAACAGCGTCCTTTTATTATGCACGTAATCCCTGTACGCTTGAAAACAAGTTGGCAACACCTAAAGATACTACTATCAGCTGGTGCAGCGCTTCCAATTTCTTTCAAGATTTTGATTTACATAAAACCTAACTTAAAAACGGGCTATACAGTGTTTGAAATACTAATTATTTATATGCTTATAGTAACTGTAGGAAAAATATATTGTGTAAAGCGAGTGCAAACTGCCTTTGCTGGACTCGAAAAACTTTCCAACGGCTCGTGCGTAAACATTTCTCTCCTGTGCAGCAAAGTGCCAATTCGCCGACTAGTTACACAAATAACTATTAATTTGGAATAACCTACATAAAGTAAATGGGTTCATCTCGGACGGGGGTTCTTCTGGACTGTTGACCTTAAAAGTGTGCTTTACCCCTGACACGCAACCGAATGCAAGGGTTTGCAAGATTACTGTTTTCACCTGCTACATTGAAGGTAGAATCAAAGTTAAGGTCTCATATTAAAGAGGATGAAATTTTCTATAGTTCTGCGTTTCATTATTTCATTTATTTTTAATACACACCTTAAAAACTTGATTTGTAGGACAAGAAAAAAGGTCTTTTCAACTAGCCCTAACTTATTGAAAAAACGTTATTTGAAAATTTTAAAAACGCAGAACTATAGATTGGTATTTGCACTACTATAAGCCGTTTAGCTATCATTATTGGTTAATTTGAAAACAGTAATCTTGGAAACCTCTGCAAGCGCTTCTCGCGGCACTGTCCAATGGTGCAACGTAGCAACTGAAGCCCGAGCTGAGATTTCTGAGCTGAGGTAGAGCGCACCCTTAAGCTATCTAAGTTCTTTAGGACCTTAGTAAAAACAAAAGGGTATAACTTTTTTTCCTTTATGGTCTAGATGTTAGCCTCCGGATTGACAAATAATATAAAAAAAGGTTCAAATACCTGCTATTTTTTACTTGCTGATTTTTTTTATATTTCTTAAAATAGTTAGTAGACAAAGTCTTGGTTTTTGTTCCACTTTGATTCTTTGTGTAACAGACGTTTATTCTCTGCAGGCATTTTTATTCCACTTGTAACCCAATTTTTGTATTCACTTTTTTATTTACATGGATTTAGAGGGAATGCATTATTGAAATTCAACTAAAACTTGTAAGAAAACTATTGTAGTTTATGTTAACGTCAAGAGAGGGATCAAATTGCCATAATGATAGTTGTAAATTGTTCCTGAAATTTGTCAAGTTATCACATAAAAAAAATCTTCTGCAAATTTTGTGCCTATTTGCAGGTTATTTTAACCCTTTTCTTATAGTTTTGTAGATGTACTTTTATGTTTTTGAGTTTTACTTTTAGAATTCCATCTGTAAACTACAAATAGATCCAGCCCATTCAGCCTAATGTGCTAGTGTTCAGCGGTACTGTGGTACAATTTTAAATTTGTGACTTAAGCTCTGTTGTCCCAAAATCTGTTATTACAATATATAAAATTATTGTTTACATTCTAATTAAGATATTTTCCCCACAGAGTTACTGCTTCTAGTGCATGGGAGAACATGCCAAAATCAAGAATGAAAGAAAAAGCAAGGAAAGAACTTTGGGATAGTTTGTGTGCAGTTTACGAAAATGAGGTAATTACGTTTAGTTCAGTCTTATATTTTCATTACCTTCTGTATTAAAGGTTCGGTTAGGAAGCAATTTTGGAACATTTAATTACTGAACTGATTCTAAGAACCAGCACACAAGTCAAAAAGTCTGTCTTGTTGTTTGATACAATTATTAGTTATTGGTTCACAGTATTTAGGCCTAATGATGGTTTAAAAATCAAATGTTTAATTAGACCAGTTGCATAATTTATACTTTTTAACTACTGGTACACACACTTGCACTCTCTATTTAACAGTTAATTCACAAAGTAAGTGTTTGGTCTCACCGGCCTTTTTCAATTTTAGCATGATATACTAATTATCCTTCTTTCACACCATTGCAGTCCGGGTCCGGTCTAAATAGTTTTGGCTAGCTTATTAAATCTTATGGGAGCGTTCACTCTAGAACAGATTTGTCATTCTCCTTTGGAGGAGGGAGTCAGAAGAAAAGAAAGCTATTGGCACGCGTAGCAACCTCACAACTGTTGTATACTGCTCCTGCCTCGGACATGCTGCAGTGCACCAGTGTGCGGCCCTGAAGACAATTTCTGGATACAGGTCCGACTCGGACTCTGCAGCTTTAGCTCTTGCTGGAACTCCAATAATCGACCCTCTAATAAAGGAATGTAGAAGTAGAGGGCCTGTGAAGAAATAAAGCAGACTGCTTCAGAGGAAACTGACGGGGTGTTTATTTTCAAAATGGCGGCCACTTTACATTTTTAAACTTAAATTAGAATTTATGAAAAAATGTCAGGAAGAATTTTATTTAGCAATTTAATTCCCTATCCAACAATACAAAGTTCAAAAAGATTGAATAAGAAATAGCTTAAATATTATAATTTTTAGTTGTAAAATGGGGCAAACCTGACTATCTTAACCTTAAGTCTACCTCATTTTACAACATTATTTCTTACTTAACTAATGACATTAAAAAAAAACAAAAACTTTTACCCTCCCTGTTGCAGCAAACCTAAGTACTTGTTAAACTAATTATATTTAAATAGGGAATAAATGAGATATTTTTAAGGATCTTGATTTACTTGGGGTTTCTGAGACTTGGCTCAGCCCCAGCACACCCTCCGACCACTATGAGATACCTGGATACATCCTTCTTAGAGCAGACCGAGCTCTTGGTACTGGAGGTGGTGTAGCACTCTATATCAAGAACGGTTTGGCTTTTGACCAAGTTCACATGCAAGACATAGAATTTATCTCTGTAGTGGTCAAAGCTAGGGGTGCAAAAGTAATCGTGGCAATCGTGTAGCTTACAGACCACCGCATGTTAGCTATACTGGCCTCGACTCTTTGTTTCAGGCAATGTTTGTAGACAGTGCAGTAAGGGTAGACTCCGTCATATGTTTGGGTGATTTGAATATCGACTTATCATACTCTTGCCCTCAAACTAAGTACCTCCGTCACATGTTTAAATTATACAACTGCATTCAACATATTACCAAGCCGACACGAGTTACACAAAAATCAGCCACATTAATTGACCATATTATTACCAATAGAGCAACTCAGTTTGAGATGATTGGGGTGATTGATGCTGCAAGTATATTGGATAGCAGACAAAAACAAATCACTGATCATAAACTTGTATACTGCAATATTACGTATAAAAGGAAGAAAAAAGTAGTTAAGTTTGTCATATACAGAGACTTTTCTAAATTCAATATAGCTGACACAATTGAGGAAATTAGGAGAGTTGAGTGGGAAAAAGTTTCTTAAATGACTGGTGTTAATGATATGAACTTTTCCATAACATCCAGGGAGTCCCGCAGGGGAGTTGTCTAGGACCCATCTTGTTTACACTCTACACAGCTGACCTTACCACGTGTGTACGTCACTATAATGTGCATGCATATGCAGATGACTGCCAGTTGCATTTTTCCTACCCAATCGGCTCATTCAACAGCACCTTTGAGGATGCAAACATGGATCTTGAGAGAATAAGTGAGTGGTCAAGGAAGCACGGCCTTAAGTTGAATGTTGAAAAATGCACAGTGATCCACATTGGATCACCACCCAACGTAATCCAAAAAATCTGCGATGGTGAAATGCATATTCAACTTGACAATGAAAAGCTTATGGGTTTGTGACACTGTCAGGACTTTGGGCGTGGTTCTTGACGGTGGTCTTACCTTCTCCAATCACATTACTTACGGTTCTCAAATTGTTTTCGGAAGGGTGCGAGGACTGTACAGATTCCGTTCGATTCTTCCTAGAGACTGCAAAATTGAAGTTGGTTCAGTCTCTGGTGTTGTCAGTGATGTACTACTGCATTACTGCATACGGCAACAGTATTTCCTGGGAGGATATGGACCGACTTAATGGGCTGCAAAACACCTCAGTTCGTTTTGTCTACGGACTTCATTTAGTTTAGTTTAGTTTTAGTGACGTGAGTCATTCTGTAAACCAATATTGTATTGAGAAGTGCTCAAGAATAAAGTAATTTTGATTTGATTTGAGACATTTTGGTGTAAATCCAATCAGGCAAATGGAAATTAGCTTAGTCTGCAGGTTTGCTGCGGCGAGGGGTATTTAGTAATTTAAGTTTAATAATTTGAAGTGTAGCTATTTTTAGCATATTTCCCTATAGGGAAGTGTAGCTATAGCACAGTAACACCTAGAGCCGAGACTGATATACTTTAACATTTTGATGTCCCTAGAGGCCATAAGCACAATTTGTTCAAATAATATTTAGTGTGTATATATACATCCGTGAAGGCGATAGCTTGAGTAAGGTGGGATACACTTGAATGAGTTCGCGAAGCAGCGTGATCGGACCCTTGGGAACAGGGTTTTATGGGTTAAAAATTAGTTTTTCTCACTTTTGACCCCAAAAACATAAAATTTCCCATACCTATCTCTTTTAACCATTTATAGAGCAAATAAATGGTTTAGTATATTGAAGTGTACAGTTGTTGGTTAGGGCCTATGGAGAAAATTAAATAAAATTCCCATGTTATTTTTATTGAGAACTAGCTGTTGTACCCGTGCTTTGCAACGGGAAGAGGACACAAAATAGAAACATTTTAATCTTAACATCTGTTGCATATAATAGTTACACATACGCCAACGCTTTTAGAAACAAAATTCTACTTTTATGGCCTTAATAGAAACGTTTAAGTTATGACATTTAAATCTGGTAAGTAGTGGATACCACCATTTTGGTTTTGATTAATTTTAGATGTTGTGAAGGCTGATAAAACTGACCAAATCTTTGAATAAAACTTTCACATACATGATTTACCTTCTTCTCCCTTAATTACATATATTTTTTCTTTATTATTGACATTTTTAATTTCAATTTTGAAGTTGCAAAAATACTAAAATTATTAAATTTAAATTATTTTTTTTAAATTTCACTCTTTTTCATATTAAATCACAAATCCTTCCATCGTTTCTTCACTCAAAATAAATCATTAGCAAAACTAAGTCAGCTGTTATAAACTTTAGAAATATTGTTGTGCCTTATCAATAGTCTTTTGAAATATTAAAGAAACTATCTATACTCTCTGTATACGTCAATTTCAAAACTGCCCTTTCTTGTTTTGTAAACATCACGGCAGATTTTTTGCTTTTTCTGCTATGTTTGGTTGTGATTTGCTTGTTTTGGTCCATGGAATATTGTTATTTTTGTTTTTGCACCCAAATTAGTTATCAAAATTTCTTGAATTTGAGATTGTTATTGAAACTTCTTCCTGTTTGTTAACTTGTTTTTATTGTTGCTTTTTATTGTTATTTGTTATATTTTTCAATTATTGTTGTCAAATGTTATTGCTTGTTATACTGTTCTGAATTGTTTCTCATTTTGCAGCTGTTATTTTTCTTCAAATTGTATCAATCTAAATTTCCTATGTATTGGCGTCAGCCGTTGGTCAATAAATAAATAAATAAATATACTATACAAAGTTTCAAAGAAATAATTTATCACTAATGACAGCAGACAAAACTAATATGATTATCAAAGCATCAATGACAAAAAAAAATATTTATTTAGCTATTAATCTTTCACTAAAAACACTTCATTACACTTCCAGTAGCAGCAAACCTAAATTGAAAATCCAATCTGTCAAATGGAAATTCGCTTAGTCTGAAGGTTTACTGCGGTGGGGGCATTTAAAAAAAAATCTTGTTGACTTAGTAAGGAAGTTTGATGTTTACGATAAGTAAAGCGTGTTTATTTGTTAAAATACTTTACAATTGAGGCAATAAACGGGCCTATCTAGAAAACTGATGTTTTGAGATAATCGCTGTTAAAGTTTAGAGGTTATGTTTGGATGTCTGAGTTGAAAGACTTCCATACTAAAGGGCCTGGTGACATCAGCAGACTTTAAGAGTCATATGAAAAAAAAAACTAAAATACACCATTCCAAATTTTTAAAGATTAATGATTATACTAGAAGACACGAGGAAGCAAAAATAGCAAATTCTCCTCTCAAAGGGTCCGTCCTAAGTTTTACACAAAATGCCTATGTTATAGTAATACCAGAAACAAAAGAACCCTGGGCCGTTTCGAGCCGCGCAGGTTTGAATGCTACGCCACACCTACCTGCGCGAACCACGTGATCTTTTCGTTTCTGCGCAGGTTGTTTTGTTCTTGGGATATCTATAGGTTATGTTTGGCTGCTGTCAGCGTTGGCACTCTCCATGCTAAAAGGTCCTAGTGTCACCAGCTGGATTTCAGAGTCATACCAACCAAACAAACTGAAATACACCATTCCAAGTGATCAAAGATTATACTAGAAGACATAAGGAAGCGAAATAGTGAATCTTATCTATAAGGGCCCATCTCGACTTGGGCCCCTTTAGCAGCTACAGCCTCAATTGCGGTTACATATTGTCATATATGTAGTAGACAAATACAATTTTACAATTTCGGCTTGGAAACGCCCGCATCCGGGCATCGATTGTGAAAGGGCCTTCGGGTCCAGCCGGGATCGACGATCTGTCATGGGTCCGAACTGCATTGGTGTGAAAGAAGGCATGACTCAGTTCATCCTAGATATCTTTAGACTAGTGTTTTTATAATAGGGTGTCTTTTGTCAACACTTAGCTAGATATCCATATAGAACATATTAATTCTTTTTTTAGTTACCAGAATAGAAATTCTGACACTAATAGTTTACCTTAGTTTTTATCTGTAGAGCTCTATATTAAGAACCTTGAAAAAGTAGTATGCGGAATTTAACAGCTGTTGCGATGAGATGTTTGTTCTAGCCTTATTTATTTTTAAGCTTCACTTTTGACTTTTCAATTAAATGTTTAAGTAGTAATTAGTCTGTACTTGGATAAGTGGTCCTGAACTCCAAATTTGAGCCTATTCCCAATTAGCCCTTTCCTTAACAACCAAGAGGGGACTGATGTTTGGAAAAGCAAGTGAATGACATGTTTTATACCACACAATAGGCTAATACTGATAAAGGACAGAGTGATATGGAAGACATTGATGTAAATGAGTTAGAAAAGTGGACTGTGAAAAACCCAGAAACCAGCATGAGAGCTTTGACCCAGCTGGCCGTTACAAATCCAGACATCTTAATGGCCTTTCCCACTGTAGGTGAGTGTCATACAATAATACTTTATTATCAGATATTTAACCAATGAGATTTTCAGGCCAATTCGTTATAATTAATGGGTCAATTGATGTGAGCTTGGATAGACTATACAGTTAGTTTGCATGTATATAGTCATAGATTAAACATACTCCCCAAGTAGATCAGTTATAGCTATATTAAAATACAAAGACGGGGGAACAGTGGTGCGATCTTGCGGAGTTTTGTAGCAATAGTGTCGACGGCAGCGGCGCAGTGACACAGCTTGTGGCCACGCGAGGAACCAACAATCCGTATGCTAGGAGGGGATACAGCACCGTATGAGAACGGCACCGCCGCGCCAAGCACCGACCCGGGACTGGCCGTCGACTTACACGTACTGTGTACACTGAATGTGAACATACCTTTGGCAATTGGATCCCTCGCAGGGTGCTGGCTAGCCACAAGCGACAGTACTGTCCTTTTGTCAAACCATATAGCGACTTCTCCCTTGATAGTTCAACATTCACTCGTGAAAATCCTCTTACTGTTATAACATCAAATTAGTGTAAAGGGTGCATGATATGTAGAACCACGATTACTAGAAAAATACCCGGTATGGATCATAAACATAAACAAAATGACGTTGTTGGCCCGAATCCTATACTAATAGCATTGAACATATGTTTTAGCAGTTCCATTTAACCAATGTTAAATAATGTTTATTTTCGGGCCAAAAACGTCATTTGTTGATGTTTATGATCCATACCGGTATTTTTCTAGTAATCGTGTGTAGAACTGATATTTCATTACCAAGGATTTAGAAAATTAATAATAAGCAATAATTTCCTTATAAAATCCCATTTAATTCTATATTCAAATTTTTATTCCTTTTTATTTCGCCGGGCGGAGTGGAAATCCTCATGGACACTCAAAAACCCGTAGGAAAGAGTTGGACAAGAACAATATTTACATGTATTAATTCGTCTTGGTAGCTTTTTGTTTACAATTAATGTTAGTCTGCTTACAATTTGTTTGGATTAGGCTCAGAAATATTGATGTCATAGAAAAGGAGATCAAGAATGATCGGGAATCACGATTTTAAATTACCACTACAACCTCAGCCGGGTTTTATCCAAAGATAATATACTGATGGATGACATAGATTGAACACAGCGGCATCATTGACCTAGGATACTGCAATTAGACAAACCATCCTTTTATGAAATCTAAAAAAAAGATTGTTTGGCGTGTGTTTAGGTGTGGTTACGTGTGGGGGCGCTGATGTAGGCAAAATATCACTTTTATTTCAACTATAAATATCTTATACTTTTAATAAATTAATATGGGAAATTACGATGTAGGTTGATTCAATAGGTGGGTAATTATTACAGATATTAGAACTGATAACGGTATGGATAATTAACATAGATAATTACGTCACTAACTTTACTAGCGTGTTTACTTTTTAAATTCCTTCAACATGTGACCAGTTCTTTTTTCAAATGAATGTTATTTTAACCAAATAGCTAATTCAAAACAAACTTTATGTTATTGTTTTTACTTTTCTTTGTTTACTCTTATTTATTTAGCAATTGATTCAGTGAAATTGATACGTTTAATTATGTTAGGATACCAAAGTTATATTATTTATAGGCCTACTGTGAATTTTATTGGATAATATCGTTTTATTTTAGGTAGTTTCTATTCAGACATACTGGAAATTGTGTATAGTATGAGTAATTTGTATTGTGGTGATAATAATTAATTATGGAAGAGGCAGGTATGCGATGGAAGGTGGTATTGTTGACTAGGTCTACACACTTCTCAATTGACTATTACCATTGACTATTGGATACTGAATTATTATACAGGGTGGGGCAATGAAAGTGCCCCAATTTATAAGCAGTACAAACTCAATAATATTCACCCTATGGATATAAATAGCACATCAAAACACAGCTTATCTTTTGCCATTTTAACTTAACAAAGTCATTTTTCCATTTCTTGAGAACGAAATCCTGCAAGTGACGTCCTTGTCCTACTTGACATTAGGCACTTGAAAACTCCATCAAATACTCCTCCAGCATTTTTTAAGGAATCACTTTAGTTTTTGGACAAATCTTAGCTTCGGTTCAAGCAAATCTGTGGGGTGACTTTGAAAAGCCTTGAACTTCAAGAAGCTTATTAGAAACCCCCCCCCTTCCAAAAAAGGAGCCAACGTAAAGCTTTCAACAACAACAGCTTCCTGGCAAATCTCTTTGGACTTTGAGTTACTGCGACTCACACTCTTTCAACATTTGCTGGTGTACAAAGAGTTTTGCGGCACCTACCGATTATTTTTAAGGTTTAAGCATTTATCCTAAATAATTTTACCCAGTTCACCATTTTTTTTCCAATCTGGAACAGTGCCATGTTGACCAAGGATGGAATGTGGTCCAAACAATCTCTGGATTTTTGCACAAGAACCACTATTTTAAAAATAGGTTTGCACATCAAAATCTCAGTGTTAATAGCCTCGGGCATAATATTTACTAAAATGGCATAGTTTAATTGATGTTTTAAGCACAGCTGATCATTCGTTGTTGCAACAATTAACATGTGGCAGCTAAAACAAATTGTGGCGTTCTCATTGCCCCACCCTGTATTAATAGTCAAAGCTATTACTGTCTACTGTAGGCTAACTTATAACCAGTGTGCGAATCGGCTGCAAATCTCACTTCAACGCTTTTCACATCGTCACAATTGCTGTTTTATTGTACAATTATCGGATTACAATGCATATCGTATAGGCCTATGATGGAATAAAACATCTTTGGCCACGCAACATTTGTTTACAAGATTGAATGAGAAGATTTGAAATCGATAATCTTACTGCTGTTAAATACGCTTAATCTCATAAATATGGTTTATAATTTTCATGTAAATAGTGTAGCTGTACTGCATTTTCAAAGAAAAGTAAAAGTATGAAGTAACTCTTTAACATTTTACTGTTCCTTATTTTCTCCTTATTGATGTTCAGGGTTTCATCTATTTTATTCATCATAGATGTAATGGTATAGACTTTCATCGACCACAACTAATAATGCTTATAGCTTATAAGGAATGAAACAGTAAGCAATGAACATAATTAGGGCATTAGGAACAATGAATTAATTATCATCCGAGATTATTAAGATATTTTATAAATTACTCATTTTATCACAATAATGTGCATTTGACATTCAACTACTTTGGACTTGGTACTAGCTTTGGGAAAAAACAGTGCCGATTATTCATATACCATGCAACTAACAATGTTTAAATCTTATGGTTCACAAAATAAATTTATATCTAAATAAGTTATTAGGTAAACTAAATTAACAATTAATATAAACATTATTCAGATATTTTACTAGGCAATGTCTAACATAATTTGTCAGTGTTCACATGTTAATAACTAGCATATATTGTAATGTCAATATTAATAACTGCAATCTATGTACGACAGGCTCTGTGACGGTGGCTGGCAGGACGTACATTGTGACGGGCTTTGTCAGTGCCCTCAGCGCAGTGCAGTGATGTGCTAGTGCTAGTGTGAGTGTGAGTGTGTTGGGAGAAAGCGATGGGGACGTTGGGATGGGCGTGCGGCTGAAGGGGAAGTGAGGGGAGGGACAGCGACAGCAGCGCGGTGACGTAGACGTACTGAACTAGCTCCGCCGTCTGCTCGGACGTACAAGGAGACCGTGTGAGCTGGCCCCGTCTTTATGACTCATCTACTAGACGTATTAACACATTTATGATTTCCTTCCGAGTTCTAGCGGGCAACTCCTGGGAGGTAGCGTATACAGTAGACTCCCTCTTATCCGAGGCCAGTCCGGATAACGGTATTTCCGGTTAAGCCGACGTCCCCAAAAACTCGTTAAAACGGACCGTTTAAATGCATAATGTATACAATACAATCACAATATAATGCTCAATGTCAATGCTAGGTAGCGCAATTTGACTTAAATTTAGGAGAGCATTGTCTGGAATACTATCTGATATTTATCTTAATCACATCTAAAAACAACTTCATTTTCTCCAAATCAAATAAATACAGAAACAGGATCACCCTTTAACACCGTTATGTTGATGACACCATTATGTTGTTTAATGGCAATACTCGACAACTGAACTTATTATTAAACTACCTAAACAACATCGCACCCAAACTACAGTTTACGATAGAAACAGAAGTCAATAATAAGATCAATTTTCTAGATATGACTATTGAGAAGGATAATAGTAAACTAAACTTCAGTATTTATAGAAAACCCACGACTTCAAGCCAAACAATACACGCCACGTCATACCATCCTATTTCTCAAAAACTTGCCGCCTACAATAGCCTAGTCTACAGGCTACTCAAATTTCCGCTTTCACCTGACAACTACAACAAAGAACTGAACATAATTAAACATATTGCTATCTCCAATGGATACAAACCAAGCATCATAGATAAAATAGTAACGAAATTAAAGAACAAACCAAATGAACCCGTATCAGATGAACCCGAGAATAAATACATTTGTATAGAATACAGCCACATAGCTCACAATGGGCTCAACAAAGTTTCAAAGAAACATGGGCTTCAATTAAACTTCAGGACCACAAATAAGACTATAAAATCTCTGTCAGATAAAATTACTGATGAAAATAAGCTTGAAAAGTCTGGGGTCTACAAACTAAAATGCATGGATTGTCCTGATTTTTATATTGGACAAACTGGCAGGACCTTCACCCAACGGCACAGAGAACATCGCCCCGACCCCAGAGCAGACAAACAAAAATCCACTTTTGCCCAACATTTATTGGATAACAATCACACCGTAGATGTAATTGACAATAGCCTGGAAATCCTTCACATTTGTAACAAAGGTAACAAATTAGACTCTCTAGAACAATTTGAAATCTATAAAAGTTTCCAAGACATCCACAATAAAAACCATATTTTAAATGACCAGCTAAACTTCAAATCTCATTCAATTTTTAACGCCATAATAGC